CCGCAGCAACTTGTCCGCAACTTTAAACTCGGGAACCACAAAAGCTAGGAAGCTGAAAATTTAGGGTAACGTTCCCAAATTTAGGGTAACCCACGTGTGACCCCGCAAATTTAAATTCAGCTTTCCCCTGCCCGCGGGTAACATGTACGGCCCCGTGAAAATTTTTGAGAGGTGAATTATTATCTCGGGACCATGAAGTCTAGGAAGCTGAAATTTTAGGACAGTGACTCTCTGCCCACGCACAACCTTGCAAATTCAAGTTCAGCGTTCCCCCGCTCTAGCGTATCACGTACCGGCCAGTGAAAATTTTTGCGGTTAAATTATTATCTCGAGAATAACAAAGTCTACAAAGCTGGAATTTTAGGGTAGTGACCCCTTGGCCACGCACGACTTTACAAATTCAAATTCAGCGTTCTCGCACTCTCGGGCTTCACTTTTGGTAGGTAAACTATTATCTCGGAAATCACAGAAGGATATTCACCCTCCAAGTTTTCAAATTCAGCTTTCATACGCCGGTGCGTGGAATTTTTAACTATTCTTCAAAGTTTCAACTATTTTTGCACAGACTAAAGTACAAAGCAGTGAAAATCATTAATAGGCAATTGTTCGGTGGGCAAAATTGCACAAAACACATGATCGCACCGGCTAGCCTGGTGCGCGTTGCCATTTATTAATTTATGGTTCGGTCCTCCAACTGTGCATATGGCAACCTCTCCAGCTGCAATGTCCAATGATGCACTACCTGGTGGCCAACATGCTGGCGACTATGAAATTGTTAGTCTCAAATTCACGGTTATTAAACAAAGGAAGCACCGATCAGCAACAAAAAATCTAAAGAAAAACGAAAAATCATTAACTTCAAACAAACTGATCAGGGCCTAGCGAGGCAGAAAGTAAAAAAGAGGAAAAGAAATAATGCAGGAAATAAAAAGCAAAAGAAGAATACTGCTTTTGAGAAGATGAGGAGCAAAGCCTGGGGGAATGAGACCCTAACTACCATGCTCAGTTGTGTACAGATTTTGCTGAAATGAAAAAAATGACCTAAACGACTATTTGACTTCGTCGCAAACCGCAATGGAAGAGTCCCATCTACCCTCTGAATGTCTTATTGCAGTGAAAATACATGCGTACGCAAGTGCCCGTTCTGAGCCAAACATCCTTCTTCTCCCTCCTTTCATAGGCCCTCCAAATCCACAATCATCTTGATTCAAAAACAGTGCGACAGGGATGAGATTTGTTTTGAAACAAAAGGCACTGGGAAAGAGCTCGGACTTCGCCTTTCTTCTGGAACTGAACCCCGCCAATTTCAGCTCTGGCTTCAAAATCAACAGAAACATGAACCTCATCTGCCATCCCACGTCACAGGAGTACTATAATAAATGATAACAACATCGATTTCTGTCCGTTACTAATACTTTTACCGTCAAAACGGACGGGTGGCACTTGCAGCTTCTCAGAGAAGGTGTGTGCCGGGAGCAATCCGTACTTCGCCTTGATCATCACTTTCTTCAGTGGGAAAGAAAAAAGGGGAAACAAGTGTTAGTTGAGTGTGGATTTCACTGAAAGTAAAAACAGTGGCATACAGCTGAGAATCCATGAGGACATCGATTCTTATCGGCAACAATGATAACAGAGGTGATCGGATTCTGGCTATTTTCCTCGCCCATCTCTGAAGAACGAGACATCAGCACTTCACTCATCCTTCACCACTTCTCGCCCATCACTGCGCTGCAAAACGCAACCATTCATTTCCAAATATACATCATTCAGTGACTCACAGCATGCCGCCCCTGTCCGTGTATGAGCTAGCAATTCCAGAAAAAGGCAAAAAAAAAGAAGAGAAGAGAACGAACGTCAGAATCGCGACCAGGCGGGAGCAGCGGCGGAAGCAGGCAGCACTGGCCAAAGTGACCGCATGGATGCTTAAAAAGTTCGAAGAAAAAGGAAACCGGTGGCACAAGAAAAGAACAACTGAAACGCCAAAAAAGCACGCTCTGAAGTGACAGAGCACGCTTCGCAAGCGACTGGGCC